GTTCCACTGAATCAAATGCTTCCTTTAGAACGATGAGAGTGAGACAGAGCGTTTCTTTGTACTCTCGTGAAACTCTAATCAATTTTGTAATCGTGTGGATGTGGTGTATGGTACTAAATCCTTTTCAAAACCCTGCCTGCTCGCATGACCGCCTTTCGTTCAGTGTTTCCGTCAATCCTGCTTAGGATGACTCGAGTGAAGAGTTTATAGACAACGGACAGCCTGCAGATTGGGCTATAATTGCCTAAGTCGTCCAAAGTCTCCATTTTTGAACAACAACACAGTCTTGCTGGTTTTTCATGGATTGAAAATCTTGCACTCTGACAGTTATCAAGTGAAGAGCGGGGCCAAGGTGTTGATGAGAACTCGCGGTGGGCTATTCAGGTCTTCTGGTCTAATCCTGTCTGGACCGAGTGGTTATTCTGTTTCTTCATCAACGATGTAGCATGTCAGATTTTGGAAAGGAGGACTGTGGAACGACATATTCATCTTCTTTGAATTTATATAACGGTAAGAGGGCATGGTTAGCAAAGCGATCCGAGTAGTGCCAGTTTTATGATTTTTTCTATTGCCCTTCTGGGAGCTGTAAGTGTCCCGTCAAGGCAATCAACCCAATCAGGTAGTGCAATCATCTTGGTCGTATGATTGGCGAAGCCTCGCTGTGCATTGCGAATGCTCTTCCTGGCTTCTGCAGCTTCTGCCATAATTGCTGCTGGCCTCTCTTCAAGGCCTTCTTTTATCGCTTCTCTGAAGCCTTTCGCAAGATCGGACGTAAGGTTTCAGTTGCCTGTAGAGCATGCGTTTTCCACGTTGACGTATCAGCTCGAGTGTCTTCAGTGACATGCGCCTTTTCGTAAATTTAGGTTTCTCGGCTTTCATAGCGCTAGCGTGAAGATATTCAACGAGCCGGTCGTATTCTTCGTCGATGTTGTCGACAACTTTACCTTCCCAAGATCCGACTAATAATTTGAATACGTTCCAGTTTATGGTAGTTCAGGGACTTCGTTATTTGAATTTAGTGGCTTTCTTCCCTTTCCACAAAAAATAGAACGTTGCGCGAAGGAGGCGATGGTCTGATCCCGTGAAGAAGTAGCGAACAACAGCGACACCGGTGAGGCAAAACGTCATGCTTACCAGATGTGGTCTTTTTCGTTATGGTACTCTCCATTAGAAGACTCCTACGTCCAAAGCTGAGAGCAAAACTTCTGAAATTGTGAGTCACCATGGATGGTTGAGGTCGTCATAATAAACTCAAATAACCTCTCACCCTGTTCATTCCATTCTAGTCCGTGAAACTCAATGTGACGTTCTACAGCGTCCTTATAGGTCCAATTTTCTAGTCAAAATCTCCAACAACGACCTTGCAAAGGGTATGGTCTTCTCTGAAGAGTCTTGCGAGGCCCATGTAGAACACTTCAACTTCGCCTTTATTATATCTTGATGTTAGTGCATAAGCAACGAAGATGGTCGAGCCGGCATCGAACAACTTCGCCTCAACCGTAATAGTCTGATACGGGCTGTTAGTTGTTCAAACAAATCGATGTTCAAGGTCAAAATCAATTTGACGAGGACGCCAACGCCTCCAATACCTCTGCTATAGCATGTTCCAAGGAACAGTTCTTTTCCGGTGTCATAAACAGCGTGAAAAGGATGGCGTCTTTTTGTCTCAACTAGGCCAAAGACGTGGTACCTTATCATTCCTACTTCAAACAGATGTTCCTACTGCGGATTCGTGAGCAAGTGTTCTTGCATTACAAGTATAGATGGTCATTTTAGTCCGCTTCGATTTTGGTAGTCTCGTTTGGCCCTGAGATTTTAGCAGCCTCTCCGTACTCGTCTTACCTGACATTGCTGTACCAAGGGGCTTTTCGAGGTCGGGGTGATGAGGCCCATATTCATTCTTGTATTTAGCAGCCAGATACCCAACGTATAGCTTGATAGGCTCAAAATGTGGGGGCTGGGTTATCACGAGTAACTTGCCTGTTTCACTCGGAAGCGGGAGGAACTTATTTGTTTGAAGCAACTCCTAATCGCAGCTCATGTAATTCCCAGCAGCTTGATTGCAAGTTACGCGCTACTTAACTCGTAGAAATAGAGTTTGTCAAGTTTTGACTGCAAAAGAAGGGATCTCATCCCCTGAACCCACCTGTGTCTGCGGGAAGCACACGGCCGCTTTTTGGTTTGCGTTGGGTTTTCCTATCCACCACCTGAGGACGAGCCAGGTGCCCTCGCCATTAACCGGGTAAGATTCCTCAAAGAGGGAGGTTCATGGTGGACACTTTTCGGCCTTTTGATGTAGCCGTGTAAGCCCTCGGACCAAATACGCGACGGATATGAATAAATGTGCAGTAGTGTTTACCAAATATACCACTTTTGTAGCAGTTATATAGATCATATTTCAAACACTTACAACGTACTGATGAGTATTTCCAATCTTATCATAAGTGAAGTTATAATTGGGAAACTCGATGAAGTGATTTGGCTGGCTGACGAAGTCAAGTCCAACTAACGTAACTGTGAACGACGACATAATGGGCGCTGCTGAAAAAGTGTCTGTTTAATAAAGCTTTACGAATGACCACCGGCTAATGTAGTCAACACTTCGCACTCTAAGAATACAGCGCTTGAATATTAACCGTATGTTGTAAATGACACAAAGCATAACGACTTAGTAATTAAATCAGATCGACTCGTTTAGTTTTAAGTAGCTCATACATGTGTCACCGTTCGCCATCGGGAGCAACGCGCGGCGGGAATTTTGTATTTGAGGGCGCTGAAAGTAGCAAAGGTAATTTATTTGATGAGTCGAGGTTTTTGGGAAATACTATCACCGTTAAATAATGTAATACTATAATAGAGGTGTTTATAAAGGATTCTTTTCAGTGTAAAGAACTCTTATGTGTCGAGAAATCTCCCATGTTTCAACCAGAAAACAACATCGTCGCGGAGAGTAACATCATTCCAAATGAGATAGCACATCCGTGTGCATTTGGGCAGTAGTTAGAGGTGCTCTGCGTCGCACAAGAGGTCAGTGGTTCGATATCGCGCTTATAGTTCACCAAGCCATCCATCCCTCCGGGGTCGGTAAGCTGCTACCATACAAGTCTCAGACTGGTCTGGGGGAATAAGTAGCACTGATTTAGCTCAGCGGGAGGCCACCGCGAGTCATTGTAAAGACCAGATATGCATTCAATCACCTCAAACGAAGCTAAAAATTGAAGTAGAGTTCATGAAGCATCCCTCAGGGATTGGTCAACACCGTGAGCTTTATCCTTTATAACGCAGTTGCTTCTTTTTTATTCTGTGTTTGCAGCCGCACATCTTGGGAAATGCCGATTTTGATGCTGTACTCGGTTAGTGAAAAACCTCTATAATACACTTCACCCAGCGAGAAAAGATACCGTATCGCTTCGGAATCGTTGTTGTAACTTCACAGTGGATTTGTTTGTAATACAAAGTAGAACTGTGATTCCAAGCTAGCCTTATCTCTATAACATTTGAGTTGTTATTGGAGGGACCTCCATTCACATATGCTTTTTTTTGGAAGGAATGCTCGATATGCTAGATCTTTACTCCTCAGTGCGAGGGGTTGTGTATAAGTAGGTATGCCATAAGACAATAGTTTTCAGGTTCGTCAATAAAAGTATGGAAATTCCAACACCTAAAGTACATCAATGTCTGATTACTATAACGAACATTGCAACTGACTATTTTAAACCTCGTTCAAGAGCAATATAATTTGACAATACATTTTAAGCCTTTCAAAATATGGTCACTTATATAGTGTGAGACACGTGTAACGGCCTTCCAGCGGCAGTAGTTGCACGGTGCTTTTTCGTTCAGTCCTCGGGGATTAACTTCTACATAGAGGGATCGATGACGGACTTTTACACCTCGACGAACAGTGAAACAATCACCGTGGCGTTCTTCTAAAGTGTCAAGTGTGATTTTGTCGACTGTATCATGTACCGTGAAACTGACGATGCTATAAGGCGGAAAAACGTGTCTTCCACTGTATAAGTGCCACAACGGACTTCATGTAAGACTCAGAATACATTGTCAGATTTTATCGACTTGTTTTTAAGATTTCTTAATAGAATCGTATGGCACTGCAATGCGCAGCATCATTTTTGACAAACAATTTAATGCTTTGTAATTTTATGGGCATGTGTCAACCAAAAATAGCCGTATTGATGTCTCTTCTATTATATGCGACCGTTTATTTATCGTTCACTAACTATCTTTAGTGGTTATAAAAATCTGAATATCGCTAAAAACACCAAATTGCCATTGCAATGGTCGCACTAGCCGCGCAAAAATCAACGTCGGACTCACGGGTCAGGAATAACTGTGGGGTATACCGAACTGATGTATGTTGGAAGCCACGTAAAGGCACTTGTTTGAAAAATTCCATCACTAAGCTCCCCATTTTTAGAAACATCACTGCAAGATTTTCACTCCGTTTTTTTTCATAAGACTGCTATGACTTTTCAATTTCTCGTTGTTCACGTAAGAAATGTATTATAGATGCGGCAGAGGGTAGAAAATAATTCAACCGGCAAGCAGAAGATGAAAACGGCGATATTGAAGGACGAAAAAATGCCTTACTCATTGCTCACACATAACGTATGTCGACTGCAACATGCACATGCAGCGCTCATATTTACGTATATATATATATATATATATATATATAATATATATATATATATTCAGTCCATATTTTATGGGGCCCGAGGAGGACGGGGCTCAGCGCATTTCTTAAATAATGTCATCGCATTTGTCAATTTCCAAAAAGGAAAGCAGAAGAGAGAAAGAACTTTGAGGCTAGAAAAAGTGGTCAATGGGTCGGCGCGCAATGAAGAAAGCAATCAGGGAACCACAAAGTAGGGTTAAAAGTACGGTGTTAGGTTGTTTGAAAATTGAAGCAGAAATTGTGCTTTGTTTTTCTTGTACGTCTTTCATGAATACCTTAGACAACTGAGTGGTGAGCAAGAAACGGCCTCAGGCACGAATCGAACTAGCGTTTTATCCTATCCAGGAACGCGTGCTGTTCCACTGCTCCACCGAGGCTCATATGCGCGACCACTAATCCTTCAACATCTCTATGTTATCTATCAGCCACCAACCTTTAACACGTTTGGTGCGTATGCGATTTTGCTTTATAGAACCAGTTGAACTGACAGCCATTATGATAAGTAATACTCGAAATCTTTGGTGTTATGACTGCCTTTTCGCAGAGTTATGATGTTTCAAAAAATGCCTAAGAAAATTGAGTAGTGAGCAAAAAAACGGCCTCAGGCGGGAATCAACTGCTCACCACTAAAATTCTCTTAGGCATTTGTGAAACATCACAACACAGCGAAAAGGCAGTAATAACGCCAAAGATTTCGTGTATATCTTTCGTATTAATTTTTATGTAGGCTTTTGCTGTGTAATCGTATTGTAATAAATATTGTTTAAATTTTTCGAATCGAAATTTGGTCGTATTGCATCGTAAACGGTTCGAAACACCAACTAGGTATGTGATAGGAAGTGTTAATGAAGGGGTAGCCAGCTGGATTGAGAAAAATTAGATTTCATGCAAACAGGCAGACATACGTACATACATGCACGTGTAGGCACTCTCGCACGCGCGCACACACACATGCACACCTATGCTTGTCAAACTAATTTTTTCATTCCGACAAGAAGAGAAACCGATGAAATGGGGAATTGTGAAAATGGAGTAATAAGAACTATATAGCAGTTAATAGTCGGAAAAACTATTACTTTTTCTCATCTCTCATGTTTGTGACTATCAAATTATCTAGTTTCAAATAAACACTATGGTTACTCATTGCGCAGTGAGTCAAAACAACCGGGCCGTGTTTCTCACACAGCTGGCCTATGCATTTGCGCAATAATAACAAGCTTCTGTTCCAAAACGACAAAAGACTCGTTTCTTTCAATTGGCAACCAAGAAATGTTTTTCCATAGAATTCGGACAGTGTTGTGCTTTACAGCTATTCACAGTCTAAACCGTAACAGATTCTTGGGAAAGAGTTAGGCCCCCAGCAGTTCCACTCGTCTACAGACGCTACTTGGAGCTCGGATGCGACCTCCACCTTTGTTGGCTCTAGAATATCCTGGTCCTATCGCATTGTAAAAGTGGGCATGTGGCGCAGTGGTTACAGGTGCTCAGCGTCGCACACGAGGTCAATGGTCCGATCTCGCGCTCATGGCTCACCAAGCTACCCATCTCTCCGGGGTCGGTAGATCAATACTAATAATCAATAATAGAGTGGTCTCAGACTTGTCTGGTAGGAGAAGCAGCATTGACTTAATACAGCGGAAGGCCACCGCGAGTCATTGTAAAGGCCATATATGCATTAAATCACCTCAAACGATGTTAGAAATTGAAGACGGATGCATGACGCATCTCTGAGGGATTGATCAGCTCCGAGAGCTTTATCCTTTATTCTTTATCGCACTATAGTTCATGTCATTGGGTATTGCTTATGTGTAAACCACTGCTCCTCACGATGTGTAGCTCTGGGGAGATCTAAACTCGGCTCTCATCTATTGCATCATCAAGAACTGTTAACATTGCTTTACATCTCGTAATTGTTGTTTCTTCAACGGCACTTATGTTGTGATTGTTACTTGCTATAGGTTATTCGTTACGGCGAAGAATGTGGTTCGTTGGTTTGAGGATTGACACTGTTCGTCATCAAATATATAGTCAAAAGTCTTTCGTGGCGGAAATAATAGAACAAAAACGAGTGACTCATCCCGCACAACACACACTAACTCGCAATAGGTACCAAACCTAACTACTCTTGTGCAATCGCCAAGAAAGTTAAACTAATCAAAACACTCTCCATTGAAAACCAATGTAAACAATTTGTTTACTCATCGAGAAGACAGGGGAAAAGGGCGCACATATATAAAAACATACGCAGTGACATAAAGACATATTACACATACACAGATCGATGCAAGCATACACACATAAACACACTGCATTAAATAGGAAGCAGTTTCAAAAGTGTAGTTCATGTGACTACCAGTCTTGGTGATCTCTGTTTGGTTGATCTACAGATGAGCAACTTAGTGGAGCACGCACTAAAAGCGAGATCTTGAAAGTAATTCTGTGGCGGCCGACGTGATTGAAATCTGATTTTGGTGATTTTTTTCTAATGAAGTAATGGAGATGTTCGGCCGACTGGCTTGTGCTAGCTTGATCTTCCCAAGCTCTAAGAAGGAGAAGCGCAGAAACGTCAGTTGTATGAATAATTTATGTCATAGAAAGTCTCGTGTTTGACTCAAAAGAAAGACAAGGAACTATTCAATAGAACACTTACAGTATCATTCAGCATCACGTATTGTTATGTTGATTCTAACAGTTTTCGTACTTTTTGTGAGATCCTCATTTGAGAAGTCTTGCTCATCAGATCCAGCGATGAACCTTATGCTCAATGCTAAAGAAATAAACATTCTATGATAGAAACATATCTGCGTAATTTCAGACATTGACGACAGTAGTTCAAAACTTAGAAAGAATTGCCAGATGTTTAGCAAAGGTAAAGCACTTTGTTTTATAGTCACAACGAACTAATAATTTGATCCATTTGACTGTATTCATTGACTTTTTTCTCGTTATCTACACAAAATAATGCTGTTAAATCAGTGAGCCCTGGTAAAGAAGTTCACCGCACTCTTCTGTTGGGAGAGCGCGGTTTGTCGAGCTTCGAACAGGAGAAGCCAGCCTCATCACTAGATATTTTCAAGTGCCATCACAGTCGTTTTGATTTCGTCGACTCTGAGTGGAAGTGGAGAAACTATTTTATGGACCTTACCACTAAATACTCTTAAAAAGAAGAATATGTCATGCAAGTAATAACCTCAAATTCGTTCATAGATTGAGAAGAGAAGAAGGCAGTGCTACTCGATTATAAAATATAAGTCAAATTCCATATTGGGTAGATAGCTCGATGAAAATTATGAACGTCATTCGTTCTCTTCACGATTACTGTCATGCTTTGTGACTCAATCAAGGCGACAAAATGCATTTGTGCTTCTCATGATGACTTGTGGTCGTCTATTGTTCAACGAGAATGCCGTCCCACTCATACATCCTTGTTGCAAGTTTATGAATTGTGAAGAGAAGAAAGGCGTATTTCTCGCGCAGTTGTCGCTCGTGGTAGTAGTCTACTTTTGAACACAGTAAAATAAGCGAGGCCTAATCCGCAAATTCAAACTCGCTGCTACCCTGTGAATGCAGACAGTTGACGCCAGCTGCGAACACGTCCGCCCATCTTTTGAGTAATCGTCCAAGAGGACGCTTGCATTCTCCTGGAGACCACTTCACTTCTTCTCTGCCATCTGTCACGTGATCTTCTCACTATGTCATCGGTCCGCCTGTATTTTGCTGTCAATGTGTGTATTTCTAGATCTCTAAAATTGTATATGTTTCCGGGGATCTAAACTGCACAAGCTGTTTAGATGCGAATGCCACACGAATACTTAGTTCAAGCGCTACATGTCGTATGAAGATTTCTTAATGTGGTTTGAGTTTTGACACACGTTTGTGCTCTGTAACAGTGAATTGTGAACACTGGTTCAACTGGAGAAGTGAGCACGAAGATTGGGGTTTGGCCAGGCTGATTATTCTTTTCTGCTAACTCCTATCTGCATGCTGTTCCCCATTCTGTGAACGTTCAAGGTTCACGTAGGAGATGGTTTTCCCTTAACCGACAACACTATCATTTTGATTGTTTATCTTGCGCCATAACTTCTCTATAGACCTCCGTCCTGTATATACAAATTCCAATCTTTTTTCCGAATTAGTTTATGTCAGTGAGCATTCCTTAGAAGAGATTTTCATTGCTGATAACTTCCCTCAATTCGTTTCAAAATGCGTCTAGATAGCTCTCATGGGGTACACAAGTTGGTAAGTAGTACTTGACGATTCCCACTGTCGTTTGACGTAAAATTTGGAAACAAAGAACAACTAAGTGCGATGATAGGCTTTACACAAGGTGAATAAACAGGAGACATGATGGGTGTTCGACAAAGTCGACGCCTCCAGCATTTCGAAGCAGAAAATTCGTTCCACGAATCGAGATAGATTCTGCCGTCTTATGGTCTTATGTCGGTTTTCCCCACAGTTTGTTTCCTGTAGGGCGATCGCACAAATTTTGATTTGACCTTTTTCTGCCTTTATCGATATGGAGAGATGAGGAGTTTGGGGTCATAAATGAAGAAGGCCATAAGTGTCCTCAAAATTTTATATGTACTCTCTGCTTGATGAAGACAATTGATTGGCAGTTCTTCACTCTATTGGTCTTCAATGAGAGAAATTTCTTATGAATGTAGTCGACGACAACCATAGAGCACACCAGCATTCCTAAATAGTGGCGAAACTCATGTACTGCCACTTGCAAATGGTGGCATAACGATCGACGTAAATAAGTAGCGTCTGATCAGCACATTGAGCGTATTGTGTAATATTACCATGGAAGTTATACTGAAACTCATTTTTGGAACTGGACCAAGCCGAACTTGCAAAAAAAGCTGATACGTTGAAAGCATGGATTACTTCCGATTACTTTCAAGAATTGTAGAGGTTTCTAAGTAATATCATGTCAAAACCCAATTTTGAAGGAGGCCTGGTGTAAGGGAAATGGACTGAACCGGATGGATCACAACTGGATAGACCACCTACATGATTGTTGAACTTTCTCTGGTGTGTATAACGACTTGAATACAACTCGATAGAAGACAGCAGGCAGCGTGTGCCGAGCTTGAACCTTTGTTCAGAGACCACTGGCCATTTCATTATCCTAGCACATCTGCTTATTTGACGCTACAGTCCCAGTTTTTGCAGTATGTGGAGGGAGCATGTGTCAGTACTTCTCAATAGAACTAACGTTTTTTGAGAACACCAGCACTGAGCCCAGGTTTCGCAGTGTACATTTTGGAGGCATGCGCATCATCTTCGAAACTAGAGCAAATATTGCATTACATACAAAGTTTGATGTGTGGGTAAGGGGGTGGGGGGCGGGGGGGGGGGGGGGGGTGGGGGGGCT